AGAGCCATCACACAAGTTATTCCCGAAGGACCATAAGATGACATGGTTTGAAACAGTGGCACGTCAGTGCAACTCAAAATCAGAGCTTTTCCTCAAACCCAACCTCCTCACATACTTTATTCCCAAACCCAGGTTGTTTAAAACTTATTTTTCAAACTTAGTCTTTTTTTTTTTAAATATTATTTTAAATAACGCCTTCAATAATTAAAACATCATTTGAAATGATAATTTCAAATTAAATTTTTTATTTAAATTGTTATTTGGATTGACGTCTTTAAAGACGTTAGTGAGAATCACGTTTAAAAAAGTGAATTATGAAAACAACAACATAACAGACTTTAAAAAAATTGGAAGGAAGAGAATGTCATTTTAGAATGACGTTTTAAAAAATGTCTTAAAAAAAAATCCTAAAAAAAAAAACTAAAAAACCCTAATCATAAAAATAAAAAAAAAACTAAAAACCCTAAGAACCCTTAAAAGCCCTAAAAATAAAAATAAAAAAACTAAAAACCCTAAAGAAAAGCTAAAAACCCTCGATTTTTTTAATAACTTAACAAACTATTTGTTAATCATTTTGATAATATTAAATTTTTTGTTCAGTAGTGTTTTGTTTTAACTAAAAAATATATTATTAAATCATGTTTCGCACAGAAATTTATAAATTAAAAAACCAAGTTATAAATTAAAAAAAGTTAATTAATTCATTACAGTACATTACATTACCAAAAATAAAAATTTGTTTTGTATATGTTAAAAAGTTTTCTATTCCAATTTTATGTTATAAGTTCATCGAACAATGAGACTTGACCTGCAAAAGTGTATAAAAAATGAAAATATAGAAAAAGATGCATATACATTTAACAAAATAATTTTATTACATGAGATTGAAACAAATACAGTGTGTTAATATTGTGATAGATGTAGAAAACAGCATAGAGGATTACCAAGTACACATAAACTCGATAGAACAAAAGTGTCAAACGCATCACCACTTAAATTGGAATAATCAGAAAGTTCAGATCGAAAACAAGTAATGGATCCTGTAAAATTTGAATCGTAGCATAGTTAAGATCGAAATGCCTAATTTTTGCGTACTCGATTGCATGCAAATGATCAAGTTAACGCTGCATCTGATCATTTTCGCGTTCAAGCCTTGTTATGATCTCATTATGATTGGTAGAGTTTTGTAGATCATATATATCAGCTGAACGTGTCTTCGGTACCATTAATCCATGTCAATGATAGTATACTTCAAGCTCACAACGTTTGTCATATAAATGTTGTCATCTTAGTGTGGGTTCGATACAAACACTCGGAGGCAGATAGTCGGTCGCATGGGTGATAAGGGTCGATGGGCTCATTACGGAACTCATGCTTTTGTCTATACCAAGCTATACCGGTAGAATCTGTGTATGATTTAATTAAATGAACTATGCTCAATGATACTGCTCAGTCAGTAGAGTGTTTATGTTCGTTGGCTGAAGATGTACTTTGTTATTCATTGCGTGATGAAGAACCTTAAGTGGTTTGACTAGATTGCCTATTAGATGTGCGCCTAGACATTTTTTAGGTTATGATGTACACAATTAATAAGGATGGTTTATATATACACATAATGCAATTATATATAACTTTGACAGAACAATTACTACGTACAACTAACATGACTTAACACTGATAAAGTAACGATATAACTTTACAGTGATAAAGTAATGACATCACAATTGAATGACAAAAGGACTGACATGACTTGACACTAGACTGACTACACTGATAAAACAATGATATGATTTCACAGTGATAAAGTAATGACATAACAATTTAATTACATATGACTGACATGAATTTATACAACACAGATTACATTGGCTTTTTATCCCGAAAATGAATAATGATTACCACTATTCAGTATATGACATTGGAAAGAATAATTGCACAATTACTACATTAAGGTTCATCAGACATATAATCATCTGATAGGTATTGTGCATTAGACAATATATTATTTTGCTCAACTGGTGTCAACTCTCGTCCATACGCAGTTTCTACCATGTCTTTTGCTTGTTGGAGCATATAATAAAGACATCTACACACCAGCATTCTATTATTCTCTCTTCAAATAATAGAATAATATTATTCTGATTCGTAGTTCTCTCTATTTTGGCGTTGCATTGTTATTGATCGTTTATGAGGCACTGGTATGCCAAGTTCTCTTACTGGTGTAAATAGTTCATCTGATTCTTTAGCACAAAAAGTCCACTCTCGTCGTACTTCTGCATAATACTCTTTTGGATTGATAAATCTCTCATTCTTGTAATAATCATTTCACTCTTGTAACAACTAAACCCGTTCATGTCTGCAATTGTTAAATCTCATAGAGAAATTGATGTAGACATGGTTTTGTGTTTGCGGTATCAACCACAAATAAGGTGTTTAAATAGTAGTGTCCAAACCTTAGTGTGCTTGACAAGTCACATTAGTCAATAGTAAGACAGTGTAGTCATGAGAGGCCACTTGGGGTTTAGTCATGCATTAGACTTGTGTAAGGTCATTTCACTATTTGGCCTTATGAAATGTGTTATCACTTCTGCACATGGTTTACAAAAATCCATTTAGGGTTTAGTCAATTTAGCACATGGTATGTTGAACACTCATTTAGGGTTTAGTCACTTTTCCACATGGTTTGTTGAAACCCATTTGAGGTTTAGTCACTTCAGCATATTGTCTGCCGAAACCTATTTAGGGTATAATTACTTTAATTCATGACATTAAATAGTCATGAGTGGTCACTTGTCACTTCAACATATAAGTGTATTGCCAAGTCATGACAGTTATTTCTCAGTTAATTAATATGTCCATCAAAACCTTGATTTATCAAGACTATATATTCATCGTGTGTAAGCAACTAATTGATGAAAAACTCATTTCCAACATTCACAGCTCTTTGTACCTCATTCAACCGTTCGATAAGAACAAACCCAGAAAGTTAGCAAATGGGTATTCCAAAACAGCAACAAGAATACCTTAGTGGAGAGAGAGAGAGATAGAGAGAGAGAGAGAGCACAAATACCTTAGTGGAGGAAAAGGATAGAGATAGAGCTTAGAACTTGTTGAAGGAGAGTGACACTAGGATGGTCTTCATTTTTGAAAAATCCTTCGCTGGGATGCTCTTGTTCGACGAAATAGTCTTCGCTGGAGGAGTGGTCTTCGTTGGGGTAAGCTGCCTACGCCGGACTGGTCTTTGTCGGCAGACTCGGGAGGGTTGAGGACTCAAGAGGGTGATTCGGGTTTGATTTTGAATTTGGGAGAGTTAGAGCTTTTGGGAAAGAGAAAATTTGATTTTTGTTCTCATAAATTGTCATTTGAAAATATGACTTTAAAATCGTCATTTCAAATGACATTTTATGCTTATAGTTTATGAACATTTTTTATGCCCTACCTCCGTTAGGAAACCGTTTAGCTCTTCATCACTATAAAATCGTCATTTCAAATGACAATTTTAAAGAGCTCATTTACAATAGCACTTTTACAATTTTATACAGTTTAAAAACGTCATTCCAAATGAAGTTTTAAGCCCTGAAGGCGTCATTTGGAATGACGTTTTAAAAAACAAACTATGTTTGGAAAATAAGTTTAAAACATGTTGAGTTTAAGAATAAAGTTTTGGAGAGGGCTGAGTTTGTGGAAAAACTCCCAAAAAGCACTTGAACAAATGCTTTCTAGTAGTGAATGAACACAAATGACACGAATATAAAATAAAATTCAAATAACACCACAAGGTTAGTGAGGATCTTTTTTGTTAATTCCACCCCCCCGCCCCCCACCCCCCCTCCCCCCGCCCCCCACCCCCAATCATAATTTTTTGATTAATACAAAATTTTAATGTTTGCTAGAGCTTACAGTCAATTTAAGGACTATAATGAATTAGATCAATAAATTTGGTCTTCGTTTTTGTTTTCAACATTTTCACTGCACCCATTTTTATGTCTGAAATTACACTCAACTCCTTGGGATGTGACAAATTGTAGCATGTTTTCTCATCAGACAAATTTAATCAATTGAAAAATGCTTTGATCTCAATGATACTCTTTATCTTATAAAGACTTTGATTTCTTAAGGTCAAAAATGCAAAAACCCCCTCCCCCTTCCCCTTTCCCTTCCGCTCCCAAAAAAAAATTAAATGATATTTGACCCTAATAAATTTATCAAAAATTATGCCTAGAATATATAGAAAATTATGCCCAAAACACAAGAACCCGTTTGATACTGACAAATTAGGGGTGTAACTCAGGCGGATTGAATGGGTTGATAGGTCAACAGTATGCCAACTCTAGATATATAATTCTCAACCCTAAACCTAATCATAACCCTGACTCGACCTCAATCAGAAGTACTCAACCTGAGTATTGTTCAAGTCGGCTCAGGTTGAATTGGCAACTTTCGTGTTAGAATTTAGGTTAGGTTCGAGTTACATAATTTAAGCTAATTTCATGTTAGAACTCGAGTTGGGTTCATTCAATCCCAAAATCAGGATGTTGTTCTAAACTTAATACATACTACATAGTATTCACCTAAAATAACAACCAATAACTTCAATCAAATATTTAACATAAAGAGAATAATATTTAAAGCATAAAAATCAATGTTTAACATAAAGTCATAATAGCCAAATGTTTAACATAAGATTGATCTCTAGTGTCTTAACTTGTAAGTTATATTGCTATACTGATTTATATATTTATTTTTAAATATGTTCGAGTTGAACTCAATTTAAAATTCGGGTTGAACCCGATTTAGGGGTTGAATCCAGTAACCCAAAACCTAAACCCTGATACTTTTAAAATTCAATTCGAATTGATATTTTTTTAGCCAGATTCAACCAAAATATTAAAAACCTCAAGTCAAATTTATCGAATTATCGAGTTAACCCGCCTAAGTTGCCTCTATATGAAAAATACATTTTCAAGCGTTTTCCAAACATAACATGGGGAATGCACTCTATGCACGTGGGTGCACAGGGGATCCGGGGCATGGTCTTACAAAGCAAGAGAGTATTTTGGGCTTTCCCTAGTCCCTACTATATTGCATGTGGGTTTGTTTCCTTTTTTAGCAAACATAACATGAGCCATGTACATGTGCATTCCAAAATCAACAATACATTCATGAAATCCTCACCACATGCCATGAGATAATCACAATATTTAATTGCATAAAGTGAAACCAATACATAGAGTACCACTGGTAAAGTAGCCCATATTATCTTGCAAACAAGGTCCATTCCACCGTATTGTATTACTACTTATAATCCGTATTTGAAAGCACCATAAAATATAAGAGTTTAATGTTCAAAAAAATTGATCCCATTGTACCAAATTTGAAATTAATTTCATTACTTACATCATTTAAAATTAATAGCGTCAAAATTTTTGCAAAAAATGCATAACTCAATAAATTTTTTCAACATATGTACATTATCGTGTATGAATAATGTTTGAAATAAAAGTTGTGTTAAATTAAAAATTAACTAAATATGATTGAACATGTAATATAATTGAGTGGTTTTATGTTTTTAGTAAAGAAAATATATAAGGAATAAAGATTCAACTTACTGTCTAATTTATTGTATAAATATCACCACACTTCCTTTTGTTATTTTAGAAATTGGATTTTTGCTTCATCCCTTGCTGAAGCTTACAACCTAATCAAGTTATAACTTAACCAAAATCCGGCTAACGGGATTGATTTAGGACCGATCCCAAATTTTTTAACCTTATTAATCCATAACTTTGACATCTCTTTCTTTTATCTTTTTTTTTTTTTGGCCGTTGAAAAAGGTTACGTGGGGGCGACTATCGTTAAAATACTGTTTAAGCGTGACCATAACAACTCAAACTCACTTTCTTGTAACTTTTTTAAGGACAATACTATAGAATATTTTTTTTAGTGATTTATTATGGTATTGCTTATCGCATCTTTTATGTTCATTTTGATCAAGGACAAAAAAAAATAAAAATTAACACAATTTTCATCGGTAATTGATAAATTTTTATTAGCTTGCCAAAATATATATTTGTGGTTGCTAAGAATTCAGATTGGTCCGGTAATAGTGAAAGAGATGAAACTAAGTGAGTTGGATCATTACCCTAATTATTATGATCTAAGATCTTTATTCTCTCTGTCCCAACCTAGGATTGACTCAATTATGGGTTTACCCTTTGATGTTAAGGCCATTCACTTGTTCTTTTATCATAGCATTTTTGGGGGTTATTTGCTCTATATTTACTACAGGCTATTCCAACTCTGTATGTCATGCTCACATGAAGGATCCATAAGATTATGACCTTAGATTTTCTTAAACAGTGAAAAAACAGTTCAATAACCAAAATCTCTATTATTGTAGAATTTTGAGAGGGTCAGATGTATCCTATCAAACCAATCATAGCTAGATGAAGGTGAAAGAGTCTTATTACTGTGCCTCAGTGAAAAGTGAGAGGATAAGCCAGATGATTGAGATAATTTTGCAACAAAAGGTATTATTAAAGTCAGGTGAATTGAATTTGGAAATTTTGAATATTATATATAAGTATATATACTAATCAAGTCACTTCCAATTAGCCAAATGGTAACTGATAGATAAGAAGGCCCAAGACCCCCCAAGCCCCTGTGGGACCCATTTTCTAAAATGGTTGCCAGAAGGACAAGAAAAAAAAGTGCACTTGTCTGTCCCTCATGTCTGTTAACAAACCCAACTACAAAAACCCCAACCCCCTCTCCCTCCTTTGGTATCCCTCTCCCTTTTGCCTCATTCTTTCATTCAGGCATTTTCACAAACAGCTTGCCACAAGAAACGCTTCAACATCTCCCATAATGGCTAGGCCGCAACAGCGATATCGAGGTGTTCGACAGAGGCATTGGGGCTCTTGGGTGTCTGAAATTCGCCATCCTTTACTGTAAGTTAGTCTCAGTTTTGGAACAAATGCACTTTGGTCAGGGACATTTTAACATTCCTCTTTGGTACTAAAAGAAACGTTTCGCTTATGCAGGAAGACTAGAATTTGGTTAGGGACATTCGAAACAGCCGAGGACGCTGCTCGAGCCTATGACGAGGCAGCGAGGCTAATGTGTGGCCTGAGGGCTCGAACCAACTTCCCTTACAACCCGAATGCGCCACCATCGTCGTCATCGAAGCTTCTCTCAGCTACTTTGACAGCCAAATTGCATAGGTGCTACATGGCCTCGCTGCAAATGACCAAAGCATCAATGCAAGAGCCTCAGAGAGTTCCATCTTTGCATCATGTTGGTGGCAATGGCAGGGCAGGAAGTGCCAACGAAGCAAGTACACTGTCACCGGAGAAGAAACCGTTGGTGTTGGCAGTGCCACAGAAAGATGAGAATTGGATTTTGAAGAAAGTTCAAGTAGAGGGCACCCAACAATTCAAGCCCCTTGAAGATGACCATATAGAGCAAATGATTGAGGAATTGCTTGATTATGGGTCCATTGAGCTCTGCTCTGTTGTCCCACCTCAGGCAATGTAATGGAGTCCAATAATTTCTCTCTCCTCCTCCTCCTCCTCCTCTGTCTGTCTCCCCCCCTCCTGCTAATGGCACTCATTTCGCTAATTTAACCCATTTTTCTCAACATTCCAGAACATCTTCAAGTGTATTAGGTCCCCTGCAGTACCTAGATATCTATTCTAAGTGTCCCATTTAAGGATTCTGTATGTACAGTGTATTATGTTATGATATCTGAGATCTATGTCAATGTCAAGGTCTTAGGCCGCCAATCAAGGCTGTATTTTTCCAATAGTCGGAGAAAAATGGGGGCTTTTATCTTGTTTCACTGAACCAGTGACTAATTATCCTTTTCCACTCTCTTTATAAATGATTGTAGAATTTCAATATGGTAAATTATATTTTGATCCCCTCAATTATCGCTGTTATCTCACTTTGTTCCTTTAGCTGTGGAGTTTCTCGCATTACTCTGTCAACTACTTAAGTAAGTTTCAGGTCACTCCAAAACCCAAGATCCAAAATAGTTTAGACAAAAACATGCAAATGTGTTGTAAAATGCAGGTTTTCAATAATAATAGTTGGGGTAGTTGGGGTGACATGAAATGAATACACATACTTGGAAGTAAAACGTGAAAACTATGATACCAATAACTATAATTGGAGATGTAATGTGATAGTTGAGGGGATAATGTCACACACATAAGACATAATTGAGGGGGTCAAAGATTTTTTTCATGTTAATATATTTCACCAGGCACGGTTTAAATTACTCATGGAGTTTGGCATAGACAATTGAACTCAACTAATTAACAAACGTCAGATCATCTGGCAGAGAGGAACAACCTTCATTTTGTAATGCTGTTTACAGAAAGTAAGACAAAGGACTATGATACTCTGCCTTCTTTATCTTTTTGTTTTTCATTTGTTAGTAGGGTGGGAGTTGACCTTGCAAAAAAGAGGAGACTAGATCTAATCTCATCAGAATTTCACAATTAAGCGTGTTAGGTAAGGATAATACTAGGGCTAGGCCTGTTAATTTTACACAAAATCCGCTCATTACAACTTAGACACGATTTATAAGCAAAATAAACCCAACACGACATTTGTCTGACTATACACAAAATAAAATCCAACAAAAACAATGCACTATAAACACTATAATATGTTGGAAACAATAATCCAATTGTGCAGCCCATAGACACTATTCATACGAATAATTTTATTGCGACCTAAAAAATTAATTTTATTTGTTGACATAATGATGTGATAGTGTCATGGTTCAATATTGTTGTGGTGACTGTAACTATTAGACTTGTTCATTGGGACTCTATCACTTGACACATCATTATGTCAATAAATTTGTTTAGTGTTTTAGGTCCCAATATCATTAATCCTATTCATATAATCAACAAAAATAAAACAGATTTGTGTGGGTGCAGTGTTAAATGATGGATCTAGGTGGGGAGGGCAAACTGATATGGGTAATTGTCTCCCCCAAAAAATTTGAAATGTCTCCACATCATAGTAATTAGTTGATGTATATGTGCATTACATGTGCATTAATTTGAGTTATATATAGTACTTCATATGCTGTTTTTAAATTTTTTATGTCTTGCTTGTTTGTTAATACAAGTTGTTTTTCTTGAAGAATTAGTGATATGGTAGCTGTTTATATAAATGGGTCAAATATATAAATAAAACATTCAACGCCTCTCTATTAGTATTTTTATATTTTAGTTTCTAAAACAGGTTATCCCACCCCTCCCTCTTTTAAGAGTATAAGACATTAACATTACTATGTTTTTGTGGTCTTTGGGCAAGAGAGATCAAATTGTTGTTTGAAGTATCCAAAATATAGTAAAATTATTTATCAAAATTTTTTATTTGAAACATGTAATGTAAAACAAAACAGTAACAATTAAAGACAAAACAGTTACAGGAACGAAACAGTAATAGACACAAACAAAACGATAATACAATAAATCTGCAATTTAAAGAATGAATAAACTGACCCGTTTACAGAACATGAACTGTTATTGAACTTTAAATAGATCAAGACTAATATTTGTTACGATGTCCTTAAGACAGATTTCACCCACATACACAGTGCTTATGGAAATCAAAGTGTCTGCCTCCCAGGATACAATGTTCTTTACGCGAGTACAAGTAACACTCCAATCTACTCGTCCAACGAATTAGAAATTATATTGTGTATTCTCCAAATACAGACCGTCTTAATGCCGAAATGTAATATAATAATGTCTGCCTTAACTAAGAAAATAATTGATCTAGAATGGTAATGATTCTGAGTTTATTTAGACAAATTAATGGTTGTTTCGGACAATCGCCATGTGAAAAGACACAACCTAGAAGACACATGCAACCAGAAGACACTAATTGAATAATTGTTCACTTTTGAACAGATGCAAGTAAAATTCAGAACTGGAGGGAACACTAACCTGAACCAATGCGAATTTTAAATCCAACGGATACTGAAATTAAATCCTAGATTAAGAAATTCACGCATAACTCGTTAAACGAATTTTTTCCAAAAAAATAGGGCTTGGTCTAAACCACACCCACACCTGTACCCAAGCCCGGCTGGGTTGGGGTCGAGGCGAAGTGGGCGGGTGGTTTAATTGAAGACATGTAGATGCTCGCCCTGCTCATAAAATTGTGGTATCCATTGAGACCCAATCTCATAGAGCAAACTTGGCCTGTATATGCCCATCTAAAATTTCTTCATTAACTAATGTGGGATTGGTGTCAAATTCCACATTGCACAACCTCTATTTTCACATTTCAAGATGATCATTTTGAAGCATATTTTCTTATTCATTTCTTATTTGATTTAAGCAAGTGAATATACTATGTTAAACTCCTCACGGAGTAGAATACGAACCTATGAAAGTTTACTAGAAACAACAAATGAGTCCCACTTTAATTTAGGCTCAAAATCAACAAAAAATTCAATTTTTACACTTACAAAATTGTTTTGGTCCAACACAAATAAGTTGCTCAAGTAATATTTGAATGAGAAAAACTGTTCAATCTATAATCCAACAATAATTAACCGATATATTTGTCACAATTTCTCACTATATATTGACCTCTTTCGGGGAATATATAAACATTTTTTTTCTCCTCTCCTCTTTACTACCAGTGAAGAGACGAATGTTGAGTATGTAAAAGCGGATGTAGTGCACATATTACATTTAATACATGAATTTTTTTTCTTTGAGCAAATGTTGTTGAAATAAATAGGGGGCATCACAGATGTAGTTGCATTCTTGTAAGAATCATTGGTAGTTACAACTTTGTCCCAAGAAGAGGCAACTCAAACAACCTATCCTCACACGTAAACACTCAAATAAAAGAAAAATCAAATGATAGCTGTGAAATAAGAGAATAGAAAATGGATAGCAATTGTATATTATTTTGGTGTAATTTATTATATATACGAGGAGGCTTATTTATAGTACAAAAGAGTAGTGAAGTTTCTAGTCTAACCAATGTGGGACAAACATATATAGATTAACATCCCCTCTCAAACTCAATGATGTAAGGTATAAATCAACTTGAGTTTAGAAATCAATTCATGAAATTGGCCAGGCAGATGTGCTTTGGTGAAGATGTTAACAATCTAGCATTCCTTAACTTGACTTTAAAAGAGAAGGTTCTTAGATGAAGAAATAGAGAAAAGATAAATTGTGCCTCAAATCACATGTTGTCACACAAAATAATAGTGAGCTTGGTGCGATCATGGAAAATATCATTGTGAGCAATCTATATGTCACTCTGATTGCCACAATAAAGAATAGTAGCACCAGAATAAGAGACACCTAAATCTTCTAAGAATCAACAAAGCCAAAGATGCTCCTGGGTAGTGTCAGCAAGAGCATAGTACTCTGTCTATGTACTGGATCGACAGATAACAGATTGTTTCTTGCTGCACCAAAAGATGAGAGAGTCGTCTAGAAAGAAACAATAATTGGTGATAGAATGAGGATCAGTAGGATCTCCTACCCAGTCAACATTAGAATGGGCGTGTAGCTTAAGAGAGGAGTGAGTAGAGTAATGAAGACCATGAAACATAGCACCCTTAATATATCGTAGAATACAAAGAATAGTAGCATAATGAGTAGAGCGAGGGGCAATAAAATATTGTCTGACCAGATGAATAACATAGGTTATATTTGGGAGCATAATAGTGAGATACACAATATTGCCTATCAACTAACGACAAAGAATGGTATCACAGAGAGGTGTGCCATCCAAGGGAGTTAATTGAGCATTTTGCTCTAATAGGGTAGATACAGTCTAGCAATTAGTGAGTCTAGCATGAGTAAGAAAGATCAGAGGCATACTTAGCTTGAGAGAGATAATAGCCACATAAGTTAGACGAGATCTCAAGGCCCAAGAAGTAGCTAAGAGAACCAAGATCCTTCATCTTAAAGTTTGTGTTGAGAAAATGTTTGAGATCAGAAATACTAGAAACATCATCTCTAGTGATAATTATATCAACAACATAGAGAAGAAATAGAGTAATGCCATGCTCAGACTTACGAACAAAGAGATCCGAGTCATAAGGGCTGGAAGAGAAACCAAAATCTCCAATGGTAGCAGTAAACTTCACAAACCAAGCTCTAGGGGCTTGCTTGAGGCCATAAAGTGCGCGACAGAGTCGAAAAACCTGATGCGGTGAATGAGGATACCTAGGAGGTTGCATTTAAACTTCCTCAGTAAGTTCATCATTGAGAAATGCATTTTTGACATCCATCTAATATAATTTTCCCTAACAAGTGGCAAAAACATCTTGTAGGCTTCAAAGTGAAGTGAGTCAAGCAACAAGAGTAAAAGTCTCCTCATAATCAATATTATACTCTTATGTAAAGCCTTTAGCATCTAGAGCAGCTTTGTTACGCTCAATAGAACCATTAGAGTGTGTCTTGATCTTATAAACTCATTTATAACAAATAGCTATTTTGCTAAGAGTAAGATCAACCAAATCTCAAGTATGTATG